TTTTATTCCATTGAAATGTTATCTCTGGGGATTTATACGAGGGTTCATCGAAAAGTAATGTTACATTGTCCATATCTGTTATAATTTGTGTCACATTATCGATTATAATATACCAAAAGATGCACATATATAAGTCTACCTAACAATGAATTTTTCTCTGAATAATGTTCAACTGAATTCATTTTAAAGATGTTAAAACCATAGAACATAGGGGCGTCGCCACAACACAATCGCTCGTCACCATTAAAATGTACATTTTTTGAATAAAGAGAGCCAAACACATTAAAAAGCATCCTTATAAAAGAGCACCTAATCACCCAATATTTTAAACAACAAAATGCATCAGAGTAAAATAACAATGTTTGTAATGAAATTAGATGTTGTCATTTAATTTTCAACTAATTTTAACTATTTTTAGTCTTTCATTTAAATTCTGTTAAAAATTATGCCAGGCAATTAGCAAGATGAAAAGAAGACGTTGACTATGGCATGTCAAACGTTGCAATATTTGATAATCTTGTGATGTATATTCAAAATCTTGTGATGTATGTTCGAAATCTTGTGATGTATATTCAAAATCTTGTGATGTATATTCAAAATCTTGTGATGTATATTCAAAATCTTGTGATGTATGTTCGAAATCTTGTGATGTATATTCAAAATCTTGTGATGTATGTTCGAAATCTTGTGATGTATATTCAATATCTGGTGATGTATGTTCGAAATCTTGTGATGTATATTCTATAATCTTGTGATGTATATTCAATATCTTGTGATGTATATTCAATATCTTGTGATGTATATTCGAAATCTTGTGATGTATATTCTATAATCTTGTGATGTATGTTCGAAATCTTGTGATGTATTTTCGAAATCTTGTGATGTATATTCAATATCTTGTGATGTATGTTCAAAATCTTGTGATGTATATTCAATATCTTGTGATGTATATTCGAAATCTTGTGATGTATATTCTATAATCTTGTGATGTATGTTCGAAATCTTGTGATGTATATTCTATAATAGTGATGTATATTCAATATCTTGTGATGTATATTCAATATCTTGTGATGTATATTCTATAATCTTGTGATGTATGTTCGAAATCTTGTGATGTATATTCGAAATCTTGTGATGTATATTCAATATCTTGTGATGTATGTTCAATATCTTGTGATGTATATTCTATAATCTTGTGATGTATGTTCGAAATCTTGTGATGTATATTCGAAATCTTGTGATGTATTTTCGTTATCTTGTGATGTATTTTTGATAATTTTGTGATTTTTATTCCTAATCTTGTGATGTATGTTCGATAATCTTGTGATGTATATTCGAAATCTTGTGATGTGTGTTCTACAATTCAGTGATGCGTGCAATAAAATTGCATGACGCAACAGAAAAGAAGGACAATTTTCATTGGTTAGAAATAACGAAAGTAGCCGGAGCGGTCGTAATGCACACATTCCACACAACTTCGCAAGCATGAAATTGGCGAATTCAACCTAAAGTCAAAATTATAGGTAATAGAAAAATTATTTTGGTATTAAGAAGCACTAAGTCAGTCATAACGTGAAAAGTGGGAATCAAGAACATTAATTTGATTTGTTTGAAGGTACATCAAAAACAATTTAGTGGCTTATTGCTGGACTAAAGGATGTTTTATCCTATTTTACGTCCTCACATTGTAGTGATGTTGATTAATCGGTATGATTTATTCTATATTGGTGCTAGTTAGAATAATCTAACTGTGTCTCGGGACAAACTCTCACCACGCAGGGTTCGAAATTGCATGGCCCATTGCAGCTGCATTGACCGTAGCACTAGTCCAGGGACGACTTTGCAATAAATAAATAAATAACACGACAAATTTTTAGGAGAAGGTGAATGTCAGGAAAAGATTAATTGCTATGCATCATTGAATATTGTCATTCACAAATTTGTCCAATTATTTTTATAGTAAATGTATTGAGCCGGGGTCATTTACAGGATAATGAACAAGGACTGTGGTGACAGTTTAAAATCACATTCAGACGTTTAGAGAATATGTAATACACACAAAAATATCTCAATGGCATGTATAATATTAAATAGTTTTAAAAATAAAATAAAATATAGCTAGAAATTAACAGCGAAAAATATTTATCACGTATCGTTTCGGGGTAATCCGGTTTTATATACAAACAGAAGTAAATAAACACCAATGCAGCAAGATTAAGGTCAAACGTCTCTGCACTCTTGTGTTCTCAACGGGGAGATTTGCATCAAGTCATTAATGATGTTCCCTGCATTTGTGTTAGCCTGATAGTACAACCTTTATTTATAGAATCAATCTAATTCAAATAGATGTTATATTCTGCTCGCATATCTTGCTACACTAACATCTACATATATCCCGTTGAGGGTCACGCTCAGAGGTCAAATTCTATCAATTAATCAAATCGCAGCTGGCAAAATCATCATATACTGTTGAAGCGAATAAATCTTGAGGCGTTCCGAATTTAACCTCTTACGTGACCCTCAATGGGATGACTTGTTAGATGTTAGTGTGTTGAGTATGCGAGCCGATCTAACATCTAATTATGTTCCCCAAACGGAGTTTGGGAACATATTGTTTTTACTCGGTTTCTTCTTATTATTATTAAGGTCTTCCGTCTTCAGCGGAAGACTTTCTTGTTATTCTTAGGTTTCTTTTCCACGATTTTTAGAGGTCTTCCGTCTTCAGCGGAAGACCTTCTTGTTATTCTTAGGTTTCTTTTCCACTATTTTTATTATTATTATTGTTTTTTTTCTTACCGATTTTGTGTACACGATTTCTCAGAAACGGCTCGCTCGATTTTCATGAAACTTTCAGGACTGATAAAGCATCAAACAAAGCTGATATATAATTTTTTGTTTTGATGACGTCACTTCCGGTTTTGAGATTTTTGCGATTTAGTGATTTTCAGGGGGTCAGTTTGTCCGCGAGTTTTCTCAAAAACGGCTTAAGATAGAAACTTGAGTTTTTTTAGCAATGATAGAGCAATGTCTGTAGATGTGACATACGCATTTCATTTTTACCGGAAGTGCTGCACGCCGACGCTCGCTATGGTCCAAAAATGGGCATGTCGAGAATTTTAAAATTTCTAACGCCTTTTCTTCGATATCTTTTCACATACAAATATTTTGTTAAGACATATAGAACAAATGAAGTGTAGAATTACATGATCTTTCAAATATATCTCGTAAAAGGGCTGGCCCCTAAATAAAGGGCCTAGAGGGGCCGAAAGTTTTTCATTTATATCTCAAAAAGTATTGAGAATTTGTTATACGTCTAAAAAGCAAAGTTGTTCAAAATGTCAAGCTTAATCTGTTGAAGTCGTCAAAATGCGTCCGGCGACGTCACTTCCGGTCATACCGGAAGTCGTCAGAATATGCATATTTTTGCCGTTCTTGACATATTTTTGGGTAACATATGTATCTGTAAGCATAAAACTTCATTTTCTGTCCGTTGACATCACTTCCGGTCAAACCGGAAGTGACCGGACGTAGCCAAAAATAGCTTATTTTTGAAGGTTTAAATACAAAATCAAATATATAAAGTCAATGGAGACCACTTAGCTCATTTGCTTTCATTTGTTGACGTCACTTCCGGTCAAAACAGGACGGAAGATCTACTCGTTGCTTTGCAACAAGCTTTGCTCTAGTTATTATTAATTATTGTTTTTTTTCTTACCGATTTTGTGTACACGATTTCTCAGAAACGGCTCGCTCGATTTTCATGAAACTTTCAGGACTGATAGAACATCAAACAAAGCTGATATATAATTTTTTGTTTTGATGACGTCACTTCCGGTTTTGAGATTTTTGCGATTTAGTGATTTTCAGGGGGTCAGTTTGTCCGCCAGTTTTCTCAAAAACGGCTTAAGATAGAAACTTGAGTTTTCGAGCAATGATAGAGCAATGTCTGTAGATGTGACATACGCATTTCATTTTTACCGGAAGTGCTGCACGCCGAAGCTCGCTATGGTCCAAAAAAAGGCATGTCGAGAATTTAAAAATTTCTCAACACCTTTTCTTCGATATCTTTTCACATGAAAATATTTTGTTAAGACATATAGAACAAAAGAAGTGTAGAATTACATGATCTTTCAAATGATATCTCGAAAAGGGCTGGCCCTTAAAATAAAGGGCCTAGAGGGGCCGAAAATGTTTCATTTATATCTCAAAAGTATTGAGAATTTGTAATACGTCTAAAAAGCAAAGTTGTTCAAAATGTCTAGCTTAATCTATTGGAGTTGTCAAAATGCGTCCGGCGACGTCACTTCCGGTCAATACAGGAAGTCGTCAGAATAAGCCTATTTTTGCCGTTCTCGACATAATTTTGGGTAACGTATGTATCTGGAAGCATAAAACTTAATTTTCTGTCTGTTGACATCACTTCCGGTCAAACTGGAAGTGACCGGAAGTAGCCAAAAGTAGCTTATTTTTGAAGGTTTAAATGCAAAATCAAAATTATAATGTCAATGGAGACCACTTAGCTCATTTGCTTTTATTTGTTGACGTCACTTCCGGTCAAAACAGGACGGAAGACCTACTCGTTGCTTTGCAACGAGCTTTGCTCTAGTTTTTATTATTGTTTTTTTTTCTTACCGATTTTGTGCACGCGATTTCTCGAAAACGGCTCGATCGATTTTCATGAAACTTTCAGAACTGATGGAACATCAATCAAACCTGATATATAATTTTTTGTTTTGATGACGTCACTTCCGGTTTCGAGATTTCCGCGATTTAGTGATTTTCAGAGGGTCACATTGTCCAGCATTTTTCTCAAAAGTGCTTTTAGATAGAAACGTAAGATTTTCAGCGATGATAAAGTAACATGTGCTGATGTGACACACACCTTTCTTATTCTCCGGAAGTGCAGCACGTCCGCGCTCCCTATGGCTCGAAAAAAGACCTATCGGGAATTTAGAGATTTTTTTGCACATTTTTTGCAATATCTTTTTACACGTTAATATTTTGTAAAACATGTAGAACAAAAGTTGTGAAGAATGTCACGATCTTTCGAAAGATATCAACGATAAGGGGCTGGCCCCTATAATAAAGGGCCAAATGGGGCCGAAAGTTTTTCCTTTATATCTCAAAAAGTGTTGAGAATTTGTAATACGTCAAAGAAGCAAAATTGTTCAAAATATCAAACTTTATCTAATGGCGTCGTCAAAATACGTCCGGCAACGTCACTTCCGGTCAAACCGGAAGTAGTCGGAAATTGCATATTTTTGCTGTTCTTGACACGTTTTTGGATATCATATGTCACTGGAAGCTTAAATCTTAATTTTCCGTCCGTCGACGTCACTTCCGGTCAAACCGGAAGTTGCCAAAAATGGCTTAATTTTGCAATAATTAACATAGATTTGGAGGATTAAACTATTTTGGGACTTCATTACTCTTTATTTTCTTTGAATGAAAGTTACTTCCGGTCAAACAGGACGGAAGACCTTCTCGTTGCTTTGCAACGAGCTCGGCTCTAGTTATTATTCTTTTTTTTCTTCTTTGTTCTCCGGTACTTTTTTTGTCCGCGAGTGTTCTCAGAAACTGTTCACCCAACTAAGTTAAAACCTTTTTAGGGTTAATAGGTGTCAAGTGTAGGTGTGCACAACGAAGGTCATTTTGCGGGCATACGCATGCACGTGCGTGCGCGTGAAATGAGTGAAATGACTGATATACTTATTATAGCAATAACTTTTACATTTTTGATTGAAATGCTTTGAAACTCATTCTATAAGGATATATTAATAGTCTAGATAATATGACATGGTCAAATTAGCACGAACTCACGTGCATGCACGTGCGCTTCCCTCTGATTGGCTGAAACAAAGATTTCAATATCTCTTTTGTTTTTTGACGAAATGCTTTGAAATTTTAAACATAGTCATGCATTAGGATATACTACAATATAATATATAGCAGGTGTCATGAAAACACGCGCATGCACGTGCGCTGCAATCTGATTGGCTTAAACTTTAAATGGGTATAACTCCTTTGATTTTCAACCAAACAGGATGGGATTTAGAACATAGATAGACATAGTGGATTCCTACAAAAAGGTAAGGTCATCATGCACATGCATGCACGTGCATGCACATGAGATGGATAAAATCAAAAATACACTTGATGAAGCGTATTTTTTAATACTTTTGGATTAAATGCTTTATTATTTTATTATATTAATGTATATAGATAGTGTAGACAAGAGAATATGGTCATTACGCACATGCATTTACATGTGCACGCGTACAAATGCTAGAATTTGAATATACTCGGTATACTTCAGGGAAACGTTGTTAAAGTGTAAAATGCATAGAGTTTGTCGTTTTTAATGAAGCTTAAAGGGAGTATGGCACCAAAAGGGAGTTGGGGAGCGTTTGGGGAACATCTGTAACGGTTCCCGTTACAATTAGCCCTAGTTTTAATTATATTGTTTATAGAATATGATGCAGACAGGGATACCTGGTGAAAACCTTTCGCACCCGTTGAATTACTTTGTAAAATAGTAGTCAAAGGAGCCAGGAAAAAATATTAAACAATTTAAATATTATGATAAAAATATTCAATTTACTATTTCTTAAGGTGATTTTGTTTTCTCAACAGCGGCTGGTCACGTACCATACTTTTACTCGTAAACTCAATTTGGCGGTGAAGAAGCAGCATTTTCTGTTGCTCACCGTCGCTATAGCTGAGCATTGCTCTAAGAGCAATGTGCCCGGCTAAAAATCATAATATTTGTAATTGTATATCATATTCTAGACTTGACATACAATAAACAATGATAAGAATTATTGTCGCATATCTGCAGTGATTTTCTTTGATCTTTCTGTGGTGATAATTTATCCCATATCACATGTGTGATAATACTTTCCAAACATGTTTCAAAGTTTTTACACTCTTTATCATACAGTTTTAAAGAACAGTTTTATGAGCTCATAAGTATATTAAATGGTTAATTTATCAAAACCTGCATTTAAAAATTCAGAAGTCTTAAGTTAAACCAAATTGTCCAGGGTATTCTTAGTAAGGTATATCAAAGGTCATGGTTAAGTGACTTTGTAAGGCTGGTATTTTTTCTTTAGTTTTATGGCAATCAGTGCACATGGTAAATATCATGAAATTACCCCTTAAAGGTCTTAGCAAGGAGATAGCCAATCAAAATGAACAAATGTAGTTCTATGTATGATGTATATAGAGACAATAATATTTCTTTTCTTTTTTTCATTTTCAGGAACTTTACGTAGGTCTACAGTTTTAATTTTGGACTCATGCACTAGGAATATCATATCAGCAGAATTGTGCCACTGAATCAAAGGGAACTCTTTTTTTTTTAGGTACGCATGATCGATGTAACTTCCTCGATGGTGTGTTGGCTGTTTGCCCATGTGTATTTCAGGGTATAGGTATGTTTAGTCTCAATTTTCTTTCTTAAAAGCTGCATAAGGGGTATATTTTTTCTGATCTCAAATTTTGTCTAAGCATTAATCTTTTTTCTCATTCATGAATTATCTGCTGAGAGTCTAGTTAATTAATTTATTTAATTAAAGCTATATAGTAACATATAGTGAAATTATTTCCTTGTGTGAGACCTAAAGAAAATCAGGTTACTCATTTTTATGACAATTTCTTTGATTTCAGGAGTAGCCTCCCCTTTTAAAGATCCAAAATGGTGATTTTACAGTGCGGCATGCAGTCTGGTCATCAACGAGGAGTTTTGACACCTGTAATACCCATATTTCTACCATTCACCTCTGTAACTTTTGTTCATCAGACTGGTAAGAAAAACAATATTGTTAATTGAAATAATTTTATCAAGATAAATAAAATAATTAATGAAAAAAAATTACATGAACAGACTCCCTCATATAAGAAAATGTCACATTTTACACATTGCAATTATACATCATTTACATATCCACATTTTCTCCATTTACACATGCAGTTGAATAGATTTAGTGCTTAATAATACATAGCAACAATTATTACATGAATCCTAAGACAATTCACAAAATACATGAATGCATTAAACTGTGAAATACAGATTTCGTACATTTAATCAAAATGCACAGCATCAGTACCCCCCCCCCCTTCACAATCTTGCAACTTTCTTTTTAATTCAAAGTCACTAGGCAACACTAAAGATTTCCACTTATTGCTTTTCAGTCCAAGACAGGAAGTTGAGGAATAAAGTTGACAGGACATCCTGAACTGTCCTCGCTACCAGCTTATGAGGGAACCAGCTGCAGTGGACAAAGTACGTTACATCATAGGATAATAGGTAAGTCTCCGGAGTAGTGTTTGTAGCAATTCTCAAACTTGGTCCTGCATCCAAGATTCAGGACTATTGATATTTATCTCTGCATGGTTTGGTTCTTCCCAGAAACATGTTACTGGTGGTGGTCCGTATATTCTTCTGGCTTTTGTGGTGAGGAATGTTTCATTTCTAGCTCTTTTCTGATCACATTTTGTCTATCTAGCTGTTTGTCTGTCTGTCTGTCCATCTGTCTGTCTGTAAACTTTTCATATTTTCGACTTCTTCTCTAGAACCCATGGATCAATTTCAACCAAACTTGCTACAAAGCATCCTTGGGTGAAGGGGATTCAAGTTTGTTTAAATAAAGGGCCACACCCTCATTCAAGGGGAGATAATTGGGAATTAATGAAAATTTGATGGTATGTTTTAAAAATCTTGTTCTCAAGAACCACTGTGCCAGGAAAAATGAAACTTATGGAGAAACATCCTCAGGTAGTGTAGATTTAAATTTGTTTAAATCATGACCCCCGGGGGTAGGGCGGAGCCACAATGGCTGACCAAAGTTTAACATAAAAATATATAGGAAAATTCTTTAAAAATCTTCTTCTCAAGAATGACAAAGCCATAATTGATCCTATTTATATGGAAGCATCCTCAGGTAGTGTCAATTCAAGTTTGTTCAAATCATAACCCCCGGGGTAGGGCGGGGCCACAATGGAAGATCAAAGTTTTACATAGAAATATAAAGGAAAAATCTTTAAAAATCTTCTTCTCAAGAACAGCAAAACCCTGATTGATCATATTTATATGGAAGCATCCTTAGGTAGTGTAGATTCAAGTTTGTTCAAATCATGTTCCCCGGGGGTAGGACGGGGCCACAAAGGATGATCAAATTTTATATAGAAATATATAGGAAAATTCTTTAAAAATAACCTTCTCAAGAAAAGCAAAGCCATGATTGGTCAAGGGACTACTTTTGGATTTAAACTTTTCAATAAAAAACCAATTTTTACTTTTTCCTAGCCACAGTGCTCAGGAGAGCGATGTGGCCCATGGGCCTCTTGTTTTTTTAGGTCTTTCCACCTTTCTGTGGAAAGACCTATTGATTTTCTTCTGTTTTTTTTTTTATTTTTTATTATTTTTCCGCCGTGTGATTTTGAGTTTCAAGATATATCGAAAAGATTGATAGTCCATAAGAATGTTCTCCGTAAAAGATTATTGCAGTTCACCCTGCGTAAATGAACCTAGACCACTTTCGAAGTTATTGCCCCTTTCGAAAGAAATGCTTGTTATCGCTACTCCTTCGAAACCGTAAACCGTAGAGGTATTAAACCTTCACCAATGTCTTCGACTAATTAAGGGGACTCTTCAATCTATTCATTGCGAAAGCATTCAGCGACCCTTTCAATGAGTTATTGCCCCTGAAACTTTTTGAATTAAACAAATAATTTTTTTTTTTTTAAACGACAAGTTGTAGAGAGATGGGACCAACTGCATAAGATTCATTGACCTTAGATCTAAAATTTCATGCAAAGGTCAAAGGTCAAGGTCATTCAGAAAATGAGAAATTAAGCTTTTTCTATATCTCTTTTGTCTTTTAATATATACTTAATGTCTTTGCATCATTAATATGTACTCTTAAAACTCTTTCAAATATTTTATTTTTGTCCCCAAATATTAACCCTTTAAAAAGTTATTGCCCCTTTTGCAAAAAACCTTGTTATCGCTACTTCTCCAAAACCGTAGACCATATAGACACCAAACCTTCAATAATGTCTTAAGGGTCTTAAGGCATAACTTCACTATATAAGTGCAAAAGGATTTGATGAACCCTTATATGAGTTATTGCCCTTTAACTTCTTTGTACTTCCTATTTAACCTTATAACTTGAAAACTATAAGTCGTAGAAGCATGGGGTCAATTGCATTGTAACCCTTGACCTTTGACCTTGAATATTTTTTTCAAGGTCAAAGATCAAGGTCAGTTCATTTTTTTTTTATTTTTAATTTTTGCTATCCTTTAAGACAATTTTGGTTTCTTATTCATGGAATTAAATTTTAAAACAAAATTGAAATTCAAAGAAGGTGGAAAGACCTCTTATTGTTCTTTGAACAATAAGTCTCCTAGTTTTTTTTTTTTTTTTTTAAAATGATCAATCATTAAATATAAATAAATCAGTTGTTAAAAAATTTGCTTCATATTTGAAGTGCTTTAAACCGACCCTTTGATGAAAGTGACCAGTGTTTTTTGCACCTTGGAAGGTTTATTGGTAAAATATAAGAAGGAAGTTATGATTTTGGTGTCACTATTGTTGTTATTTAAGTTTGATTTGATTTTTATATTACGAGTATTATGAAACTGTTATTTTGTTACTGAACGATGGTTAATTTTAATTGTGAACAAATGTACAAAGATGAGGAGTATAATATAGTTGGCTATGTATATTGCCCAATTTTTGAACATATTATGTAATAAATATTAATAACAACCTTTGAATAATTGGAAAGACAATATTATAAATATGATAGCATTTTTGTACATGAGCATACATTTTTGAAAGGAAAAATAAATTATTCAATTGCATTAAAAAAAATATTTTGTTTCATATTCTTGCGAATTATCAGATCAATCTTCCATTATTTAAATACTCTGTCATTATGAAACCTTGTTAATAATTAAGTAAATATTAATTGTACATTTGCACCAATTTTTACATGGCATTTTCACACTAAGAATGCCACGTGCAAAATTATATACAGGAACAATTCTGAACAAATATATGCAAGTGAGTTGTAAATTTGATATGTAATGCATACATTACAAAAATCCATGACAGTGTTCACTAAAATGAAATGTATGGACTCTTATATAAATACTTGGTATATGTGATATGGATATTATGGATGATATTTTTGAGAATGACACAAGTAATGAAATTTTTCAGCATTGAATTGGATTCTTGAACCAGAGCCATGTGAACCTGGTCCACCTGTACCTCTCATTGAAGACCTGTTAACATCACCAGAGTATGTTCATTCTGATACCCCTATGGTATGGTTACAGCATGCATTATCCCTGAATCCATTAAAAGAGCTGCATTGGCAACGAAACAACCCAATGTGGTCGATTGTAAGGAAATATAGCATATCAGCTTCCAACTTTGGTGCAGTTCTCAGTTCTAAGCAAAGGCGGTAAGACGTGTTATTAAATTTTTGCGAAAAAGACTTTTAAAATTACAGTCAAACTTTGTTATCTCAAACCCATTATCTCATATTTCATGGATATGTCACAGTAATTTTGAAGTCCAAACCATTTATAAAAGACTGGGACATTTTATTCTTGATAACTCTTTATGTATTATTCTTGAATCCACGGATATTCCCAACATTTTTCTTGGTCTCATTGAGTTTGAGATAATGAGGTTCGAAAGAAATGACTAGATATTTGTACATAAAGATGCAGGAAATATAAGATTAATAACCAAAAATCATATTTTCTTCTCCAGATTGACATTGTCACTGAAGAAACAGCTGATGTCGGCTTACAATCTGGAGTCCATCAAGGCTGTTGCATGGGGTATCACTCATGAAGATGATGCTTTGAGAAAGTATAAAAAGGAATTTGATGCAGCTGTAGAGCAGTCAGGTATACAGCACAAAATAACATTCATTCAACCTCTGTCATGTTAACATTCAATGTGTCAAAACAAATAGCAGGACTTATCCTGGTGACAAACAGAAATCAATTACTGAAGTCTAATTGTAAAAAAACTAGAAATATGTCCATAGGACATGAATGCCCCGCCGAGGATATATTAGTAAAGCAACATGAAATTTGTACATGTATAAAATTTGATCAGTTTGGTTCAGGCAGGGCTTATAGTTAGTTGGGAATAAAAATGTAGGTCCAGCATCCAAAGCAAGTCTGGTAGTGTCCATCCCTAGATGCATCATCCACGCAAGCTTGGTTAAGGTAAGGTTTATAGTTACTTGGGAATGAAAATATAGGTCAGATCCAGCATCCGAAGCAAGTCTGGTAGTGTCCATCCCTAGCTGCATCATCCATGCAAGTTTGGTTTAGGTAGGGCTTATAGTTACTTGGGAATGAAAATGTAAGTCAGATCCAGCATCCGAAGCAAGTCTGGTAGTGTCCATCCCTAGATGCATCATCCATGCAAGTTTGGTCTAAGTAGGGCTGATAGTTCCTTAGGAATAAATCTGCTCCAAAAACTTCAACCTGGTCACTCATCTGGAAAATGTAGGTCAGATCCAGCATCCGAAGCAAGTCTGGTAGTGTCCATCCTTAGATGCATCATCCAAGCAAGTTTGGTCTAAGTAGGGCTTATAGTTCCTTAAGAATGGACCTGCTCCAAAAACTTTAATTTGGTCACTCATCTGGAAAATGTAGGTCAGATCCAGCATCCGAAGCATGTCCGGTAGTGTTCATCTCTGGATGCATCATCTATGCAAGTTTGTATCAACATGTAAAGTTTGATAACACCATCT